CTTGCTCTTTTTCTGTAGTTCCTAACATCCCTATACTTCGTTTCACCATAACTGGTCGAACTGTGGAGGCTGCGGCTTCTGCGACCCAATAAGAGCGTCATAAGGCACGTGAAAACACTCCATGGTTGAGCCCACAGAGGCCTCGTTACCGCCACAGCAACAGCGCCGTCCATGACAAAAAGTAGTTCTAGGCTTCTTTTCCTTTGAATGGCAATTGAACTCACATGATGCCATCTCTATCGGCAATATACAGTCAAATCTCGTTAATTCAAACTTGCAGGTAATTCAAATGAGCATGCAGGTCTCATCCTATGCGTCTCTATGGGTGGAAACTGGGAGGAAACGCCCAAAGTTAGTTTCACAGCAGATGACCCTTGGCCAGCAGACGACAACCAGATTCTCCGGGCCTTCTATTTGGCGCAGCGACACACGCTCCAGTAACATGATGTCACGTGCCTCGCTACGATGCTCTTATTGGTTCGGAGGGGCCGTGACGTCCACAGTTTGCGAATTGATCGTGAAACGGAGTATAGATGCATAGCATAGGGAGGTTGGTGGTCAGAGTAGCATCTAACCATCGATTGCTATGGCAATCTTAGTTCAGAGATCTGCAGTGAGTTCCAGTTTACTGGTCACAACGACTGCGTCCGTTGTGACCACAGCGATTGGAATGACTGCTGTGCGCTGCATGTACACTCCTGCAACCGCTGCAAGGAATGCAGCAATTTTGGCAAACATGGCGATTGTCAGCACGTCAACCGCTTCTCCGTTGCTGGCAGAAAGGTTTGAATAGCCTCAAGCTTTATTTATTTTCATTTTTACAGGATAGAGCTCGCAGCGTAAATTTTAGCAGCAATATATCAACATATATATAAAAGTCTCATTTTGAGATCACGTAGACAAAGCAGGCAGTGCAAATGCTAGCACTAATCGATTTACTTTGAGATGGAAACATATGAAAATTTCCCCCTTTCAGGCAGGAGTTTCAGTTGTCCGACCTTCAGCGTAAGCTTCCTACCTTCGATTATGCTTCGTAGTCTCGTGAACCTCTGACGTGCACACACGGACGAAGCATGGGTAAAGTCAATGGCCGCATGCTGGAGGCAGGAACATTTGAAAGAGACACCCATCCATTCACACCTTGCCAGTGACTACACTCTAAAAAAAAGCCCATGAGTGTGCTTTCCCACACAACACTCGGAGAGCCAATCACCGCAACTTACGGAGGCAGCTCAGCGAATGACAATGCCGAAGCATATGTTTAGACAAAAAAACGCAGTCCGAGTTTTGACATTAAGCAATGTAAGCGTGACGTTTTGCATTGCTTAATGTCACAACTCAGACTGCGTTTTTTCGGTCTAAACATATGTTTCGGAATTGTCATTCGCTGAGCTGCCTCTGTAAGTTGCGGTGATTGGCTCTCCGAGTGTTGTGCGTGAAAGTAGATGCACAAACATTTTTTAGAGTGTACTCCGTTCACCCCTAAGCTGAGACTGCATGCAGTGGGAGCTATGTCTTCGTTGGACCTGTCACATGTGTCTTTCGCCATGTGATCACGCTTCCGCCCACACCCACGTGCAGAGCGGGGTGAGGTGACGAAAGGGAGGTGGCTAATTGGTCCGGCGGGCAAGTAGCTCCCTTCACAGTCTCAGCTGAGGGCTGAACGGAGTATGGGACATGCTATTTTACCATTGTAACACAACTTTGGTCCCACGAATAAGGAGAGTACTTCACGTGAAAAAGGATAACCTTTCACTATTTCCATGTTTGCTGGTACCATGTCCGTCACTGGATTGGAGGAATCACAACCAGAACACAGGGCGCACGGTTGTGCTTTCCGTAACACCCAATGGGTTTGTTGTTTCGGTCGTTCCAGATGCAGCCACTCACATGGGAGGCAAATATATATGCTATTTTATCAGGATGTACATGTTTCGAACATCAAAGGCATCACTTTTGCCTCTGACAATCAAATTTTGTGAGAACTTCTTTGTCCGACGTATGAACAATGCGCAAAACTTCCTTTCTTCTTGGGTGGAAATGAGCATAGGGCTGTGCGGACCAAGTGCCCTCTCTTCTACTTACACCACCCCATTTGACTAGATTGCTGTGTGTGCTGGTGTTGCAACTGCTTTCTCCGGTATTGATAATGTTTAAGAAACTAGCCGCAACTTTGCCTTGCAGCTGTCATAATTGGATATTTTGAACATAGCTATAAATAAATTACATTTAAATTCTTAAAAATGAAATATGCCAAACAAATTCTTTTCCTAGGACTCCATGCTGGAGGACTTTGAACCCTCGGAGACCTGCGAGGTGCTGCTGCAGCTGGAGCAAAACCGCGAGCTGCCCACCCCTGTGCAGCTGGTGCCAGCTCAGTCACCAGCTTCACAGCATGCTCCAGTGCAGCAGCACGCATCGCCTGCCCAGGCAGCTGATCAGCCGCCGGCCAAGAAGCGGGCAAAGAAGGTGGGGCGGGCCAACGCCCAGGCGGAAGAGGGGTCTCTTCGGCGTATAGTCGAGGAGTCGACGAGACAAATGGCAAGTCGGGCCGAAAACCCAGACTGTAACGATCCTTTTAGGATTTATGGGATTCATGTAGGAAACGAGATAAGAAACTTGCCAGCCTGCCTCTGGAATGAAGCGAAGTTTAAAGTTAACTCGCTTTTATACGAACTGCACTGCAAAGCTGAGAGAGTGAGCAGTTCTCAATCTTCAACTTCCGAATAGGAATTGTCCATCACTACTTTGTGATGTTCTTTAGGCCCTAGGCAACCAGTGGCACTTCACTGACTAAATTTCTCATCTACAGCTGGAACGCCAAATGACCGGCTATACTCCGTTTCCCCTTATGGTGTACTGCAGCAAATGCTATGAGCCATGGGAGGCAATCCAATGTTGTGCGTGACCTTTGGGAAAGGTGCAGCGATGTGTGGGCTGTGTAGTCAGGTGAAGCATTCACAGCACTGGATTGGCTGCAATGGCTCGTAGCATCCACTGCAGTCAGTCATAAGGTGAAATGGAGTACAAGCTCTGGCACAGCACAATTACTTCAAACAGAGGTAGGCTGGCAAGTTTGCTATTTTTCGAGAACAGTCCTCATTTGTAACACTACCCAAAAAAATCACCTACTTCCCGAACTCGTCACACTTTGTTACCTTTCTAAATAACTTTTCATTTCTTTGTTTTCGATACTGTTCCTCGAGGCCACTTGGCGATTGGAAGTTGTGTTTTGGGGAGGGGAGGGGGGGGGGAGGGGGGGGGGGAGGGAGGGGGAGGGAGGGAGAAAGAAAGAAGGAGGAGGGAGGTTGGGGGTTATTTTGCTTTTTGTCATACCTATTTTTGGCAGCCTTTTTAGATTGCTTTTGATATTTCTATGAGCAATGTACTTCCTGCATACACTGCAGAGTTTAATTTTCTTTTTTTCTCATACTCGCTTTCAATATCCTTTTTATATTCCTTAGATTTTGTTAAATGATTTTGATGAATAAACATCCAGTCCAGTACTCGCCTCTGCATTCATTCATTATTTATTTCGACTTTCACCGGCATTAAAAGACATTGCTGCATGACAGGGACACAGGGTCCCCCACCCCCTGTACAGTTCAGAGCACATTTGCCATGCTAAAAAAATATGCCAGCAACATGTTACATGACTAAAATGCCGAGCAACACAAGAACAGCAATACAGTTAAAATTGCAATAAAATTGGATGCGGCAACAACAGTAACACTTGTCAGAGCCCTCAGTTGCTCTAAAAAAGTTTGTTTAAATGGCGAGAGACAAAAAAGTATGGACAATTAAGGAACAATAAATTTCATTCAAAACCAAAACGGTCATGAGGAAAAAAAAAAAAAAAAACATGGTCTAAAGCAGAGTAGGAGATGCATTCCAGACCCGCAGGGGAGAATGGTGACATGGTGAAGGAAGGTTAAGTATATACACACCGCAGAGTCATTAAGATACTATATTTTTTCTGTGCTGTTTACCTGTTAGTGGAACATTTACTCATTTCGTTTCCACTTCCTTCCACCCGACAAGGCTTGGGTAGAAAGGCACATTGGATCACTTCAATATATTCATTTCTTTGTAGTCAACAATGATCAGACCAGTTTAATTAAAGGGCAACTCCGCTCAATTTCAAATATTTCGGATTAATGAGTGATTTTGCATTAAGTGTCGTAGGGAAAGACTACGTTATTTGTGTCCCGAAAAATGAATATATAGCACGAGCAGAAATCTAAAACGAAAATTCTGCTCCGTCTGGCAACATTGGCCTCTGGCCGCCAAGAACATGGCTATAACGTGGTACGAGATGTCACATGATTCTCCACGCAACAACAGGCGGGATTGGGGTGGGCGTGTGCCAGGTGCAAGTGTAGTCTGCACTGCACTCTTCACCACGTTTTGGTGTCTACGACATTCGACGACGTCTGCACAACTGCGGCATAAGTCTGCGCACATAATGTCCAAAGTGTGGACGAAACCCCGAGAGACAATAATCACAAACGGTGAGACGACGACGGTAATAATGGCAGGGCGACCGTGGGGCTCCTAAGAAGCGCGCTGCGCAGGCGCGTTGCTCTAACCATGTGGACTCCGCTGAGCGCCGAGAGGAAACGTTGCTCACGTCACCTGTTAATTTGCACAGAGAAGTAAAAACAAGCAAAAGGGGAAAAATGTGATGACATTTAGCTCAATGTTGGTTATGTCCACGCAGTAGTCTTCTTTGACTGCTCTGTTGGTTGCACCTCAATTTGCTCACTCAAATCGTCCGATTTCGGCAACTTGGCGAGTTGCAAGGTTTGCCGGACCATTTAGGAAACATCAAGACGCAACTATGTCGTAATATTCGACGTGCAGTCTTCCTGGGTGATGCTCAAGAGGACTGCATTGTTTAAAAAAGAAAAAAAAGATCAAGCGGAGTTGCCCATTCAGATTGTAAAGAACACAACAAAGAAAACAATTCAGAAGCTTACATATGCTTGCACAAAAAGAACTCAGCTTTCAGGAGCAGAACCTTTGTACACTACATTGTACTGCCATGGTACCTCGCCCTGCGAGGAACAGAAGTATCTCATGAACTTGTCCCTCACTGCTTTGTTAGTGTCGGAGGCGTTGTTTGAGCTGACACGGCCTACATCCGACAGCGCAGTGCTGCCAGCCGCATCACTCCTCCACTGACCGACGGTTACAGCGCCAGATGCAGCTTCCTGGTCTGCGTAACCGACGGGGCAGTAGCGACGCTCCCCCTGCTCGCTCTCGTCACACACCCTCAGGTAGTTATGCAGGTTGACGCACGCCCAGACAATGGCCTCCAGAGTCTCCTCAGACGCCTGGATTGTTTGTCTGAAAATGCGCCAACGTGCCACCAGGATGCCGAAAGTGTTCTCAATTATCCTCCTGGCTCTGGATAGCCTGTAGTTGAACACTTTCTGCATTAGCTCCAAGTCCTTCCTGGGGTAAGGGCGCATGAGGTTAGTCAGCAGGGGGAACGCCTCATCTGCCACAAAGACAAAAGGCAGCTTGGCTGATGTATGGGGTAGCCGCCCAGCTGGCGGGAGACCAAGTCCTCCCGACAGCAGAGACTGACCCATTTCGGAGTCTCGAAAGATGCCCCCATCACTAAACCGCCCTGGCTGCCCAACGTCCACCAGCGTGAACTTGTAGCTGGCGTCGCAGCTTGCGAGGAGGACAATGCTGTGGAACCCCTTGTAGTTGAATGTGTCGGAGCCTTTACCAGGTGGAGCTTGGACGGCCACGTGCTTGCCATCCAGGGCTCCGACACAGTTCGGGAAGTTCCACAGCCTGCCGAACTCCGCTGCGAGCCGCTCCCACTGGGCAGTGTTTGGGGCCTGCAAAGTCAGTCAAAAAATGCTCTTGGGTAACTTTATTTAAATGCCACAATAGCACACAACGCTCATTATAGCCAGAATTCAGTAACAACTGAACTGTTTCACACGAGCAAAGAAGAAAGGGTGTAGCATCTGATGATTCGGAAGGATAGGCTTAGAAGAAACCTAAATTTACTGGGTACATTGATTTACCAGCCAGATAATTTAAACGTTCAGAGCTTCCTCGATCATCCGCACCGGTGTGTACCGGGGCGCTGAGGTGCGCCTTGTCTTCGATCAAGTGCACCGGTGCGCACCGGACATACTCGATCAACGAAGCGCACCCTCCCGATGCGGCTTTTTGTTGCCCCAAAGCGCACCAAAAAAATCAACAGTGCACCGGGGTGCAGCCCCATCAGGCTTTGCAGCCAGGACCGGGAAACAAGGAGATGGCAGGAATAGCAGATGGAGATTTTGTGAAAGCAAACACACCTAACAGCGGTACTCTATGAATTTCTTAACCCTTCTGACAGTAAAGACGACGAGCTTCTTACCATCTCTGCGATTACCGGTGATTGCTGCAGTGGCAAGGAGCGCCCGAAAGTTACGAACTTCGTGGAAAGCTTTGTGAAGCATTACAATAACACCGAGGTATGGCTATTGTCTGGTGGTACTCTTACCAACAATAATGGGCACCTGTGGAATTGCACTCTTACCAACAATAATGGGCACCTGTGGAATTGTTACTTGTTTCATGACCCTATAGACAACCAAGTCCACAATGCCCATTTGTGTAAAAATGCTAAAGCCACGAGTAAAAAGCCAGGAGAAATTGACAGCAGATAGGCACTGCCTGCAGACGTACACAAGAAAAACAAACAAAACACGAAGTGATGCATAGTGGTGCTCGCCGCGGTGTACCGGTACGGCGCAGTTTGTCCTCAATGTTCCACCGACTATGTGCTGCACGACCGAGCACTGTGGACTGTCTCGGTTTCAGGGCAATTCTGGTGTGTGCTGATCGAAGATGGTATCAGAGATATGTATTCGATGCGAAAAGTGCTTGTCATGACGTCACATAAGGATTAACATTTTCTTGAAGATGTCTACTCACAGGGCGGTAGAGTGGGTCTAGCACCTTGTGGAGGGCCAGGCACGTGTCCCTGATTATCCCGGAGGTCGTCGACCGGCCGATCCTATAACTGGTCGCGCATATTGCCTGAGAGGCTCCGTGAGCCAGGTACCTAAAATAGTGAAATGAGGGAAACAAATTCAGAGACAGTAACACATGATCATCTCAACTTTTAGAGCCGACTGGTGAAATGAAAACAAACTTAAAACTGAGTACACATTAAATGGTGAGTTACCCAGCTGTTTGAAAAAGAGCCGAAAAGAATGAAGTTATTCAACTCACCTGATTGTCAAGGACAGCCTCTCCGCTGGAGTGATCGGCGTTCTCCAGAACGTGGCTTGCTTCAGCAGCAGTGGCCCAACAAGGGACAGCAGGTGTTCAAACCTGCAGAGGAAACCGTTTACAGGCCGTCTCCAGTCCTAGCTGCTTCGGTTCGGGCTATAAAGTGAACTTTAAAAAATGCGCGCACCATAAAAACGACGCTCTTTGCCTCGTTTTTTTTTTTTTACGTTATTTCTGCGCGGTATTTTACGAGGACTCGGCAGTTCCAATGGCAGCGAGCGAGCGAGGTAATCAGACTGTACGTGCCCTAAACAAGCGCCTCCTACACGTTGGCGGGCCTTCGAGCTATTTGATATGCATTTAGCATTGGAAAGAGTGAGGTACAGTACACACCTTTGCCGCGTCATTCTGAAGTACATGAAGAAGTCTCGTCCGTCGTCCAGCCGCATATCGCGGACGAGGTGGTGGTACTCGCCGAGGTTCTCCCGCGAACGAAGGATGAACCGAACCCATTCTCGGCGGGGACGTCTTTGGCGGCTCAAGAGCAACATCGCAGCGGATGACCGCGCGACTAGTGCCCAGTCAGTGCTGCTGCCTGCACGGGCAACATAAGCCCTCACGCAGCTATTGTAGGCGTACAGCAAATCGTCGTGGCTGTACGCCGTAGCCGAAACCTCCGGCTGCTCCGGTGAGGACCTCGCGACGGGAACGAAACCGTCCGCCATGTTTGTAAGCGTATTTGGGTTGCTTACTATTGGCTAGGAGCAAGAGCTGAAGCTCGTTTCTTATTGGCTGTTGATCCGTCTGGTTGTATGCGGTTGCAAGTGTGTGTACACGTCGCGCACAGTTGTCGTTGAAGTCGCAGCGGTTGCATTCGTTCGTAAGCATAGTGGTCGCTCCGAACGCAACTGTGTGAACGGGCCTTAAGTTTTTGGATGGCCGATAGTTATAAAATTGTGAATACTGAGTATATTATATGTTTTCAAGTTTTTTTTCCGTGTGCGAAAGATAAGGCACATTTTCAATTACTCGCGAAGTTCTTTCTTGAAGCAGGTGTACTTTATCAAGATTGGTTGCAGTGATAGTACCACAAACCAACGAGCCATAACTTAAATAGAAATAAAATACCTTTTTTGTATAATAATATTTTAACAGATGCAGGGAATATACACCGATGCCGACATATAATTCCAGCAGTTTTTTATTTCTTTTTATTTAAATACACGATGTGATCATCACAACTTATTTTTCAGAAAACACGACTCCAAGTGTTTTGAAATTATCAATTAATTCGAGATTTACCGAGTTTAAAGTAATTGTATTTATGGGAGGAAGAACGTTATGCTTAGTTGGAAATAGTACGGCTTTGGTTTATCTTGCAATTTATCTTTAAAGCGCTGTTTTCTACCGTAACTATATCTGGCCTGACAATAAATTTACTTTTGACACTAGCTCCTCAGGATCGTTTGGAGCATACAGAAGTTTTGTATCATCAGCATATAATATGCAATGTCATTTACATATACATTAAAGAGAACAGGGCCTAAGTTACGTTTTTGTGCCACTCCAGAGACTAGATTTTACGCTGAACGAAAACGAATGGCAGCACATAAATAATTTAACATTTTCTAGTAATGATTAATTTCAAAGCAGGACTTGCCCGCGCACTCTATAACGTTTTTTTTTTTTGTAATAAGGGCGTGTGCTTCAAATAATCAAGGGCTTTTGTAAAGTCAATATAAAATCCCAATACTACCGGGTGATTCAAGGAAACGGCAGGCTCTTTAAATCGACCGGAAAATTCGGTTTCCTAACCTATCGCGCTACGACTTTGTGCAGCGCTGCCCACAGATGGCGCAGTTTTTTTGCAAAATTTGCAAAGACCGAACTTACCTGAGAAAAAAGTAAAGAAAGAAAAAGGCTTAGCTCTTACGGAAACGCAGCGACGCCACCGGTCTTCAAAAAACACGGCGCCGTTTCACACAGGACACAAGAGATGACGCAACGAACGCCGCCAACGAACGAGCATACGGCGCCGAGAGCCAGCGCCTTTAGCAGACAATCTTTTCGACTCAAAAGCGGTGCGCGTTCCGCAGGCGGCGACAGTCGCAGAAACAAAAACAGGTGCGGTAACAAGGAACTGCAGTTCCTTGTCTGCTAAATACGCCGGCTCTCGGCGTCGTCTGCTCGTTCGTTGGCGGCAGTTGGCGTCGCGACCGCTTGCGCCATCTCTTGTCTCCCGTGCGAAACGGCGCCGTGTTGTTTGAAGACCGGTGGCGTCGCTGCGTTTCCATAGGAGCTAAGCCTTTTTCTTTCTTTACTTTTTCCTCAGGTAAGTTCGCTCCTTGCAAATTTTACAAAAAAAAGCACCATCTGTGGGCAACGCTACACAAAGTCGTAGCGCGATAGGTTAAGAAACCGAATTTTCTGGTCGATTTAAAGAGCCTGCCGTCTCCTTGAATCACCCGGTAGTTTTTTTATCCTCGAGATTACGTATAATAAATTTTTGTTTCAAGTAAGGTAAGCTAACTGGAACAATGCTTTTGAACTCTAGACGTAGATTTTGTAATTAGCTGAAGCTTATCAAAAAGGTTTGCCAGTCATACATGAATAAGTTTTTCTAGCCCCTGTAAAAAAGGCAGTATAGAAACTGGTTTATGAATATTTATGTAAGTTTTATCACATTTCTTATGCAGTACTGAAACTTTTGCCATTTGCATGCGCTCATGGAATACACCTTCCAAAATACGCAAATTAAATATATCTCAATTAAGGTATAATTAGTTCTAAAACACATTTCATATGTGATGTCTTTGACTAGAAAGCGTAGAACCCAAGTGATGTCTCTCTCCAGAAATCGTAGCACATTATCTTAAATGTACTGTATGGGAAATGAAACTATAAGTCAAACTACAATAGTTAAAGATAGTATAGTTAGGTGCTACTGCTCACCCGCAAGAAGGACCAATGAGGCAGAACTCAGACCGCACACACATTTACTGCTTCCTTACGGCGAACGACCTCCCTGAGCCCGATCGTTTTGCGTGGCTCGCGCGCATGCTGCGCCCCGGGCGCCGAGCGCCAGTTCCTTCGCGCAGTGTGGGCCGCAAAGCCCACAAACTCCCCCCCCCCCCTCCCGCCCCCCCCCCCCCCCCCCCACGTCGTTTTCTGCTGCTACGGTGGTTGGAGTTGTCCGAGTGAGGCAGGCGTGTATAAGATACTCACTAAAAGTATTTAAGTTACTGAGTACCACAAAAATAGTGACTGAGTAGAGTACTAAATACTCAAATTTGTAATTGAGTAAAGTACAAAATGCTCCTAGAGTAACTCGTTACTTATAAGATACTCTCAAGTTACAATTTTCTCTGCAATCTATTGTCAAGCAAAATCGAAGTCAGAAATTCTTTTTTCTCCCAGCCACTATGGAATCTCCTGGAAATCTCTTAGCTACACTTTTGGCTGCCACACACGCTTCTAGGAGGTCCCAAGTAACAAAAAGAAACAAAAATAAAAACGTCATTCAATCAACCTTTATTCACTTGCGAAAATAAAAATCAAAACACCATTACCAAAAAGCTTTGTTCCCTCGCAGTAACAGCTGCTTTTCAAAATTTGTGTCCATAATCTGTCCCTGTTCTTTTCTTTTTTTAAACACATATCCGCCGATGCTGAAGAGCCATTCGACGCACCCGCTCGAAGGCACCGCGAGGTTTTGCCGAAGGAAGTGTTCGTGAAGCGTGGGGTACTTGATGATCTCAGCCACTTCTTTGTTTCTGTCGTCAGACTGCAGGTATGACGACAACTCCTGCCCACCATCACTTCGAGAGCCCGTAGCCACCGACTCTTCAAAAAAAAAAAAAAATCATGCTCCGCTGAAGATTGCGGTTTCTCGGTTGTAAGGGTAGACGACTGTGGCAAGATAGCGATCTCGTCCTTCATTAGCTCGGCCACTGCCTCCCGTTGACCGTCCGGCACCCACTTCAGCTTGAACCGAAGCAGGAGAGCAGCGCTGACAAGCAGGGTCTTTTCTCTCATCGCGTTGCGAAACCTGTAGAGAACGAAGTACTTAAAAAGAGTTATTATCATTTTCTGACCACTATAACGCGTAAAACTAAACATTGGCGCACAATAAAACGGAACTTTACCTTTTCTCAAAGCCAGCAATCACAGGCAGTCTAAGCGGCTGAGACAGTTGGATTGGAGATAAGGACGCGAGCTTGCGCTTCAGCACTGTTATGGTGGGGAGCAAATATCCAAGGAACATATTCTTGTCAGCCTGGGTGATATCCAGGGCCTTTGCAAGTGGTTTCATTAGCTAAAAAGAAAGAGTTATGTGTAAACCAGAATATAAAAAAAGATCAACTATTGGTGCTGCCGACAGAACCAAATGCACAGTGCCTCCCACCTCGCAGTATTCCTTGACGAACTGCACAGCCCCGGTACGCCGCATGGCTGGAACTTTTTGTCTCTGTCAATATTCTTCAAAGCTGTCAAATTTGTCTTCTAGCAGTCCCTTATGCACTGCATGGCGTTAAATTGGGAATTCCACCGTGTGGCTTTTGGGACAACCAGGTACCTAAACAGCCAAAATTCCTGTATAATTATGTTCACCAGTAAATAGAAAAGAAAAGAAAAATTCCGGAACTAAGTAAGTGCTGAATCGGCAGAGCAATATATGTTTTGTTAAAAATTACCTTCCTCACAAGTCGTGAATCTCGTCCGCTGCGAGAGTTGACTGACACTGTCATGCTCGCAGAGCCTGGCACTTGCCGAACACCGAATGGCTGAGCGACAAATACGTTGCGTCGTTCTCAGCCCTTCTCGCGTCAGTGGTGGCTCCCAGATTTAAAGTGTGTGCTGCGCATCTTTGGTGAGGAGAAAGAAGGATCGGCTCTCCATCTTCGAGCACAGAGGATAAATCAACCGGCTGCGTATCCTCGCAATCGTTCTTCTCGCCAAAGGTCCTAAACGAAGCGTATCATGCCCCAAGTTAGAAGCGTCGCTCATGAGATGTCTCACATAACGCTTTCGCATGCATTTAAGAAGTGGTCAACGTCGTCGAAAACACTAACCGGAAGGCCTTTACGAAGTTTGAGCCGTTATCTGTCACGACTCTGGTAACCCCTTTCTGGATTCTGAACTCCAGAAAGACGTTCTCAAGCTCCTCGGCTATCGTACTGTACGTTACACTGCCTCTTACGCGGCGACAGCTCAAAGCTGCAACCTTCCGCTCCAGCGTTTTGGCGTCCAACCACAGCGCGGTTGCTCCCAGGAAGGCACTAGGGAAATACATATGTTGTCATAAAACTATATATGCTACCAAAGCAGCAACATAACTTTTACCGCTTGAAAGTCTTCCAGCAATCTGCGGTGGCTGCCACGAACTTTGCTTTGCTGAACTTTTTTAGCAGCCTTTCCTTTGTTTTGGTGTACCTAGCATCCAGGCGCGCTAGAGAATTTTTCT